TGCACAGTCAACCCAGTCCAACAGTGAACTCCAGTTGGCTGTTTTCTGAGTGTGATTGTGTAACACATCCAGCATTACATGATACCTTTACAATTTCCCAGCTGTAATGAGAATGTATATTAGGATGCATGCAAATCTTTATAAAATAAAGTTGTATTACCCATGTTGCTTCCTGTGTAGCTGTTCGGCCACATACCTCATGAAATAAGGAAATGAGACTGGTCTGACACTGCCGTTCCTGGTTGAATCGTGTGTCTATTGTTGCAGCAGCTTCTCCAGGGCAGCCTTCCAAGCTGTTTGACTGCAGTGCTGCTGCCATTGCTGCCTCTGTGCCTTCCCCCTTTTCCTCCCTGCTTTTCCCCAGCCCTGAAGTGCCACTGCTGACTCTTTTCCTCTCAAGTCTTGCCCTTCCCCATGCCCTTGTGCACAGGTACTCAGTAGGAGACGAACTGTAAGGGTGTCACAGGAGCTGAAAGCTGTTGAGGAGGAGGCTGTCATGTGTGAAATCAGGCTGCAGAAGCTATGAGGACAGGGATTGCACTGAACTGTGGCAGGCAGTTTCTGGAAGCTGGGAACTGATGTTATTGGGATATTTGGAGGTTGATGCTGTGTGGGGCAGGGAGGGGAGACAATAGCTTCATAGATTAATCAGGGGAGATGAGACTAACTTCCACTACTGTTCTTTATCCTTTTCAACTCTCCTTTGCTTTCTGCTCACTGGAACAGCAGCATGATTTGCAGACTGGCAAGTCTGCACATTGTGGGGAAAATAGACCCATTCATGCCTGTGCTGGTCTTCCTACAGAAAGCAAGCAGGACTTAGGCTGGAGCTTCTCCCATTTCCTGAGGTAGGATGTGAAATAAGTGCATTGCCAACCCCATCCCACCTTCATCTTCTGAAGCATGGCAGGACTCACCTGGGGTGAGTCTCCACAGCTGTGAGTCGCTTTGGTGAGTGCATGGTTGTTGACTGTCTGATGGCTTATTCTGGCTGAAGCTAGGCTGACTGGTGTATAACTCTGCAACTACTCTTTTTCACAAGTGTTATGTCTGTTTTACCCCAGTCTACCACAAATTCTGAAACATTATCAGCAATAATTCACACATTGCTTTAGCTAATTCCCTGGGAGTGCACATAGCCTTTCAAAATATCTGTCTTTGCTTACATATATACCCTCTATAACCCCATTCTATTAAAAGTAATTTTATTAGATGCTGGATCACAATTTTGGTTCTAAAGATTGGAATAAAAAAATAACAGCAAATATTGCAGCTATCTTTAGATCCAAAATTTGTGTTTGTGCCTCATATGTACCTGTCTTCCTTTGCTAATCTTGTGTGTTAATTGAAACATCCTTCATGGCCTTAAGTGGTTTTCTACTCGATACCCTTTTAGAATCAGAATGGTTTAGGTTTGAAGGGACCTTTAAAGACCATCTAGTCTGACCCTCCTGCAATGAGCAGGGACATTTTTGGTTAGAACAGGTTTCTCAGAGCCCCGGCTTGACCCTGAATGTTTCCAGGGGCATCTGCCACCTCTCTGGGCAATGTGTGGCAGCATTTCAATACCCTCATGATAGAAAATATCCTTCTTGTATCTATTCTGACTCTACCCTCTTTTAGTTTAAAACCATTACCCCTTGTCCTGTTGCTACAAGTCCTATTAAAAAGTCTATCCCCACGTTTCTTATGAGTGTCCCCTTAGGTACTGAAAGGCTACAGCTAGGTCTCTCCAGAGCCTTCTGTTCTCCAGGCTGAACACCTCCAACTCTCTCAGCCTTTCCCCATAGGAGAGGTGTTGAATCCAAACATCATTGTGCCATTTCCTCATACTCAGGCATACACCCCAATTTCCACTTTCTTCTTTTTTTTTTTTTTTTCTTTTCAAACTTGCTCTATGGATATTATCCTGTTTTTGCCCATTTTATAATGTTTGACCAGTCTCTAGTCTCTCCTATTGGGAAATCCAGCCTCTTTATCTGACCTTCACAGCCTCTTTATGTGACTTTATTCTTCCAGGCTTTGTGAAACAGGATCAAACAAGCAGACAAACCCTCAAGAGCTGAAGGAAGTGTGTGAATTTAAGGCTAGTGTTTGTGTAGGTAATGACCTGAACCAAATCCTAAACTAAAACAACCCTAGGTTTCTGGTTCCAAGATAGGCAGGACATTTAAAGTGCTGCTATGACAGCCAAGTGACTCGGTCCTGTCTGCACTGTATGACAGGTGCAAGGACAGATTAAATAGCGAGAGAGCTGCCATCATACAAAGGCACACAACCACGTTATGCTCCCTGTTAATGGAAATGAATGCTTTGTGGATGAGACAAGCTGGGTGCACAACTGTTGCAAATTCCAGCAAGGAAGTCCTTTGATGTAGTCCCGTTTGTCTCTGCCAAAAAATATGTAGGTCTTATTGCAGACAGATTTCTTACAATGAGAATTGTAGCAATGCTTGCTGAAAACCCACCTGGGCTCCATGCTAGTACTTGATCTGAGGGGAAGAGGCTGTTGTTGTCCATGGCTCTGGGCTACTTTCTGTGCTGTTTCCAGCAGTCGGGACTTCACATGTGTGCTGCACCATGGTTCATGGTGCAGGGGGGAGTCATGTTTTTGTCAACAGTTACGGCACAAAGGAGTTGGGAAAGAAATGAACTGTTGTTGAACTATCCAGTGAGTAAAGCTGGCTTGTTTAAACCAAGAAAAACTGAGGCTTTCTGAAGCTCAGGGATCCTTGGCTTTATTTTTAATCCAAGAAGAAGAGAATTGTTTGGAGCTCAGGTAGATGGAGTTCTTCTTCTAATTTGTTCCCAAGACTTGGGTTTAGATGGGTATCATCTAAAAGATGTGGGCATATATGAGAGAGAAATATTGCCTGGAAATGACTGCAGACTTGTTATACTGAAGGTGTTACATAAACCACGCTCAAAAAAAATCACACAGCTGCACTATATCTATATTAAAGCTGTCTAAATGAAATGCCTGTGTGTTCCTTCAAAAGTGCTTTCAGCTTTATGATTGTCTGCACTCCAGATGTTTTTTGTACAGCATTTTTTTTTCATTTTTCCCCTCTCCCTATCCAGACAAGGTCAGGAAGTAACAGGGAGCTATTAGTCTTTTCTCTTCTATACCCTGCATCACCTTGCCTTCAGTTTCCTCTTTTTCAGACAGCTTGTAAAGTACTGTGTCATATGTTCTTAAAAACAGGGTGGGTTCTTCTGCACCCATTTGTTTAAACCTGTCATTGCTGTCCTTGGATACCAGGTTTGTTTGAAAAAAATCCTGCAGTTTCACTCCTTGGCTGGTGCAGAGCTATGTTCAGGGTGCTACAGAGAAATACCTCTGGATTTCTCATTTGGCTACTGAGTCTGTCCTTAGCCAGGCATGAGTGGTCAGAGGGTACAAAGGTGGCCCAGAGCCCACACCCTGAGGAGGCTGAAATGAGGGAAGGATTTCCAGGCTCACTGCTGTCACTGACCAGAGGAGCAGTATAAAACAGTTGTTCCACAAGCGAGAATCTGGACCTTTGTTTTTCATCTCCATCTTTGAAATCAGGGCAGGTTTGTTAGTACAAGGCAAAGAATCACAGAATCACAGAATTGTTAACATTGGAAGGGACCTCTGGAGATCAAGATTTGTTACAGGCAGCCTTCTCTTCCTGCCCCTTCAAACACCCCACTCCAGCACTTCCTTTGGGAGCAGGAAATGTTGCTGTAATCCTAAATGTATATTATATTAGCATAATGTCATCTCAATAAGACTTTTGCTGTCTCCTTCACATTTTACATTCTGGCAAGACTTTAAACAGAAATTATTTTTACAATCATGTTCTCTGTACATAATTTAATGAAAACATTTAGAATTCTTAGAGGAAAAGAAACATTTTCAAAAAACTGTATAGCACATCTGCTTTTCCTCATATTGTGATCCATGACTCACTGGGTAACACTGAATGAAACTCAGTGCTGTTAAACTATAAGGACATATAAAGACTTATCAACAGCTTTTGTACTACTATTTGGACTCATCAACAGGAGATGGATATTGACTAGACACTGAGTTGGTAGATATGATGATAGGTCTCAGATTTTTACATATTTTAGACAATACCTAAGGTGTGCCAAGCATCAAATTATTATACAGAGGTGCTATCAAATACAAACTCAAGCCTAGAGCTCTGTATTGAAAAGGTGGGTTGGGTAAGTAGGTTATCAAACCTGCCTCAGCAAAGATTCTGTGCACTGTTCTTGTGGGTGGGAAGCCAGGCCTTCTGCAGATGGAAGAGCTGAGTGATTGTTATGAAGCCTTTGAGAAACCAGGTAGTGTTCCAGGAGAACTAATGGCCCCTAAGTAACAGGGTTCTGGGAAAAAAATTGTTCAGAACTGTAACTGATTTCTGCTGTACATGTCAGTACTGCTAACATTGTCATCTTTATTCCACTGGAAGGTTATGGCAATTTCTTGGAGAAAACTTCAAACTAAACCACAGGTGTTTGTGACTGCATCCCTTAAGCAGCATTTCTCGTTTTGTGCTTGATTTATGAATTATAACTATTGTGACACCAACAGTGGAGCAGGAGAGCCTTTTAAATTCCAAAGGAGCTGCTCATCTGCAAGAGATGATATTTCTTCACATTTTAGATACCTCCAGAGTTAAAGCAACAAATGTTTGCAATTTGCTTTGGGATTCTGGGACATAAAGTTTTCTGGTACTTTTCTGGTAACTACTAGGACTTACTCATATCAATCATGGTTTCCCAGACAGGTTTTATCGTCTATCAATCACTATAAGAAATTTAGGGCTAGGGAAAGGCAGTTTTCTGAAAACTGCACTATATATTTAACAACTGTACTCCTTCTAAATATTTTCATGTGTTTTATCTTCAGATTATTAACATCCTGCAGCAAGTCATCACTTCAGCCCAAAGGTGTGTGGAAGAAATAAGTGATGCATGAAACTGGATATAATTAAGTCTAACATTCAGGACCCTGATGAGTGATACACAAGGAGAAGTAGAAGATGGTGAATCTCACAGAGAACTCAACTGAGAAGTGCAATATTAATCATGATATCCACGAGACATTATCCCCTGTGGTATACATATTTGTATTTATAGTAGGCTTGCCGGCTAACTGCCTGTCCCTGTACTACGGGTATTTGCAGATCAAAGCTAAGAATGAACTGGGTATCTACCTTTGCAATTTGACTCTAGCAGACCTGCTCTACATATTTTCTTTGCCTTTTTGGCTTCAGTATGCTTTACAGCATGACAATTGGACCTACGATGAGCTGCTGTGCAAAATCTGTGGCATTATCCTGTATGAGAACATCTATATCAGCGTGGGCTTCCTCTGCTGCATCTCCATTGACCGCTATCTCGCCGTCGTGCACCCCTTTCGGTTTCAGCAGTTTCGGACAATGAAGGCAGCTGCAGTTGTGAGCATCATTATCTGGACCAAAGAAATAATGACGTGCTGCTTTGTCTTCACACACGGGGAGATCAGTATGGATGCTGAGAGCCACTTGGTGTGCTTTGAGCACTACCCCATCAAACAGTGGGAGCACAATGTCAATTACTACCGCTTCTCTGCTGGCTTCCTCTTCCCCTTCTTCCTGCTGGCCTTCTCTTACTGCGGGATTTTACGAGTTGTCCACAAGAGTCCCGGCACTCAAAAGAAGAAGAAAATCCAAATTAAAAGACTAGTTTCAAGCACTGTTTTCATATTTTTAGTTTGCTTTGGACCATACCATATCCTACTTGTAGTTCGTAGCTTGTTGGAGAACAACTGCTCATTTGCTGAGAAAATATTTAATGTTTATCACATTTCTCTCCTGCTGACTACTTTTAACTGTGTTGCTGACCCACTATTGTACTGTTTTTCCAGTGAAAGCACTTACCAGAACTTTGTCAAGATGCGAGATTCTTGTCTAACATGTTTAGGGCGTCTGAGGACTGAGACAAAGGAATCCTACCCACTAAACATTACGGAAACTCCCAACAGGACACAGCATGAGCAACAACCTGGGCTATTACAAATACCACTTGATGGCACCAGAATGAAGGACTGCTCTACAGCTAACATAGGTGGCCTATAGCATTAATCAAGAAAGGACATTAATCTTAAATCTGTGGCTATGGCTGTGTTTCTGTATTCATCTGAATTATATCTTCATGTATTACAACAGTGTGACCTCCCGAGGGCTCATGGGCAATGCTGTACAGCGAGGTTGTGTCTAGAGGTGCTTGGACCTTGACAACAGTGAGGAAAGCACATGCCAAGTCAGTTCAGTTACAATCATGTCTGTTGATGTTGCACTACCACTTAAAAAGCTCTTGTCTTGATGACTGCATTGACTGGAATAAGCTGGTACTCATGGTGTGTGGTTCTAGTGAATTTGTTTTGAACTGCTTTCTGTTTGCCCCTGTAGCATCTAGAGAAAATAATTCTCTACAAGCTGTCATCATCTGTTGAAAAGGTCAGAGACAGAACAAATTAAATGTCCCATAGGAACTTTTCAAACGAAAAAACCAAAACCATTCCCACAACATTTCTGTAACTCTCTGAAATAAATTCTCCTTCCACCAGTTTCAAAGCCTGCAGAGACCATGCCAGAATCGGACTCCTAAAACAACCAGTCCAATAACGTGAGATGTTGCGGGAGAACACAGGCAAGGAACTCAGCATCTGCCGAGACCTTCAGTCTGTTGTTTGACTGTTGAATCCCAGACTGTTAAACTTCATCATAGGGCTCCTACAGATTTCCAGAAGTATGAGAACTCTTGGCTCCAATGGGTATAAATAATTTGGATTGTTGACTTGGAAAAGAACAAGAGGTTGGTAGTATATGAGGCACTTTGAACACAGTGAGTCAGAGAAGCACATGGGATCAAAGACATATTTAATTACATCTAAATTCCACTACACATTGCTGAAGTTTTGATTGTGTCCTTTGTAATATGTGTGTCTTGTGCAGCACAGACTATTTTGTCAGAGAAACTGTTGAATGAATTGTTTTGCCCACAGATACTACGGTTTAGAGTTCAGTCACTGTTCAGTAAATACAGTATCAGAAATACGATATATGAATGATCTGTGTTTCCTGGTTTAGACAGAAACAAAATACAGGAGTAGGTGGAGAATATTAGCTTTTAAAGATGTGGGAGTTGTGCTCTATAGTATTGTTTCTACTACCACCTCCTCTCTAGTTTTTGTTTTAGTTTGGGTTTGTTTTTTTTTTTTAATTATACTAACAAATCCTGTGTGAGTTTTCTTTGTGATCTGCTCCTCATATGTTCTTATATCTGTAACTGTTACACCATGAATATTGCCTTGTCCTTTCACTTCTCTGGTTTCAGACCTTTCTTAAAACACTTCTCTCTCTGCAGCCCGGAACTGATAACTTCCAGCAGTATAATCAGTGTTGTTTCTTCGGGGATTTTTTAAGTCAGAAGATTGTCTAGACAGATGATATACTCCTGGTATCTGAATTAACACAGCCTCACTTGTCACTAGATTCCAAAAGGAATATATTCTAACAGTTTTCTGGAAACCACCTTGAGAGTGCAATATTTGATATAATTAGGGGATGTGTTTAATAAAAAATGTTTTTATTATTTTCTTCTGATATTTCTTCGCTCTCTGTTTGAAACAGCTATCTTAATGGCTTTGGCCCTCAGTTTGTATTTGTGAGACTAGAGATCTTCTCCTCCCTCCTCTTGTGAAAAAGGATTCATGTCCCCACTCCCAGGAGGGGATTAGGTTTGTTTAGGTTAATGTTTGGTTTGTTTAATTATTTGACATTTCTTTATACTTAGACCACTCAGCTGGATTAATTACCTTACATCTGCATTTTTTTCTTCTGACTATTACTGCTGTTTAGTTTTATTTTCTCCTAATCTTTCATCTAACCTCCTGTTTCCAGAGGGTCGTGAGGCAGGGACTCCCAGCTGCCATAATGCCGTGCTTGTACGTTGTTAAGCACCAAGCCAACTACTTGGACTCCCACGGCCTGGCAGACTGCAGGACACACACGTGGTTTGTTCTAGGATTAAATATTTGTTGTCCTGTTTATGCTTTACTTCTCTACAGTTACCCATGTTGTTTAAATTAGGCAACTGGAATGCAGAGCATGCTGTATTACAAGGACTTGTCAACTGAGGGATTAAGGCTTATTTGAGTTGGTACTTTGATGTGGCCAGCTTTTTGTCAGCTGCTGCAGTTTAAAATCAGATGGAAACTTTTATAGTGGAGCCCAGCATTCTGCTACAGCTCTCAGCACTTAACCTGCTAACCCACAACAGAAGGGAGGGATTTTTCTTATTTTTCCTTTCCCCCCACCCCCCCTACCAAAGTCAAAATTTTAGCAATTCTTTCTCTCTTGTAAGTGTTCAGCTTAGGCTGCAGAACTGTAACCAGCATGGCAGGAAGGTAACTCCCACTCAGAGCTTTTCCTTCCATCTCAGCCAGAACAGTCACCCAATGGTCCTGCTACATATTGCTCCTGCAATTGACTGCTACATATTGCTCCTGCAATTGGGACTGCATGTGAGAAGGGATTTTAAAAGCACATATTACAGAAAAAGATAAATAAATTACTAAATTTTGTGTTTCTTAATGAAATCTGACTGTCAAGACTTGTATTTTGGGGCAACAAGAGCAAAAGCTTACTAAATTAAATTTTTTTAACAAAAGGTAGCATTTGGAAAGAATAATATACATTGCACCTGTTAGTGTAATATGTCAGTAGCACACAGAGAATGCAACTAGGTTCTTCTTTTCCAAACAGACATTTTAAAATTATGCCAATTTCATTTTGTGGGTTTTATGCAACAGTGAACATATGCCATCCTGCAGGGATACTGGCTTTGGCAAAAAGCTCAAGCATTCACAAGGAGTATTTTAGTTAATACTTATAGTTTGGTGACTTCTAAAGATTTCTCTAATTGTGAAACTTCAAAGACAGTTTTACTGCAACGTTCTTCAAGAAGGTTTTGAAGAAAATGAATCTCAAAAAAATGACTGATCTATAAAATAAACACTGGGATCTTTTGCTGCTAGACATCCATATTCACCCGTCTGGCATTAAAATTTCTGACACGTGTTCAACTATTTTAACTTTTTAAAGGCTGTGTATCCTTGGAGATTTCAGAAGATTAATGTTTAAAATACGCTGGTGTTTGTGGTATGAACTGATTTTTCTCATTCTCAAAAAGTTGTTTGTCTTGCATTGAAGAAGGAAATAAAAGTCACCTGCAAGAAAAGAAAGTAGATACAAGGTGGTGGTGGTGCTGGAAGTCCAAAACACAACTGCCATTCTTACCCTGTTGGAGCACAATGGTTTGATGCTCACCTTTGAACCACTTCAGTCATTTTAGGACAGCTAAAGCATCAGTGCCCAAGAGGTGCAGTGTCAGATATACCCTGTCCTCTCTGCTGCGACAGCTGACAACTAGAACTTCAGCTCTGACACTCATCTGGAGTTAAGGTAAAATCACAGCTTTAAATGACAAAAGTCGTGCACAATTCACAAATGTTTGCCCTGTACCGGTTTGGTGTTAGTAGTCCTATGAGATACAATTTAATTTTACTTCATTTGGTCTTGTCAGGAGCTGAATTTCTGTAACAGGAATTCATATAATTCAATGTTAATTTAGAATTCATTCTTTAATGTTGAATGCAAATGTTTACTGATTTCTAATCACGTTATATTTTTAAGCATTAATTTAAATAATTATTTATGTATTCAATAATTTTTTCTTAACAACAGGATACTCTGAAATGTCTACAACCTTTCTGTATCACCCAGAAAGGGACAAAATATAAAAATGGCAAGCTACTAATACAACAGAGGTCAATGACATAGCCTACCCTTTACAAGGGAGGTCTGCAATGATGTCTTTATTTTCACTAGCTCAGTTAAAAACTTCTCCTTATCTCCTCACACTTTCACAAGCTAACCCCCACCATAAGATGTTATAGGAACTACAGGAAGTGTGCAAGGGAGCTTTTACCACTGTATCTCTTACTGGAGTTTTGTTTTTAATCTCCCCTCTCTACTGCAGCTGTTTACCCCACCACAAGGTATTTTTAAATCCAAGTTGCTACAAGAGTTACTTCCTGTTGCAGTTATGAGGTTAGTAAAACAAGAACAGCAACACAATAATATTTCACTGTAATTGCAAGCTTTCTTTGTAAAAGCCAGATCACCTCTTATTATATAATATCATTTAATATCCATTCTCCATTATAAAATTACAGAAAAGAAAGGTTGACCAAATCCTTGTGATGATATCCTCCTCTTGCTTCACAGAGATGTGGTAAGGGTAACGATGAAAGGCTGTGGGTGGCAAAGACACCAGAGACAAAAAGTCATCTTTTTTTAAATTTTTCACATGATGTGAGAGCCTCAGAAACACAGAAATGACATGGGAGCAATTCTTGGTGCAGAAATCATCAGGGACAGTCACTTCTGCACTTCTTGTAGCAGCTTCTCAATCATAAGCGAATGGGTGTTGTAGAAGGGCAGCCCATCCACTTCCATTTCCAGACTGGCAGTTTTCCCACTGCGGACCCCGAGCCGCACAAGTGTTTTCAGAAGCTTTTCTTCCTTAAACACCAAAGAAATAGAGTATAATTAAAATTAGGAATCAGACAAGAGCATTCATCAAGTTCTTTCTTTTAATTCTAGGAGAGACTGGCAACATCCTCCACATTTATTTTGCTATCAATTTGCTAATGCTTTCTTTATCTTGTCCCAAAGAATACGTTTAGCAACTGGAACTTAGGGAGTGTCAGAAGGCTTATATTCTTCACTGCTGTTTAATTATTGAATTATATTATTGTTCTCCATACTCCCTCAAAGAGAACACTGGTCTCAATTCAGAAACATGAATAATTCTTTGCCTGGTTTCAAGTTCCTATATTGCACAAATCAGAATCACAGGAACACCTCCACCCAAAGTATCTCAAAAATCCATCTTGGTTGGGAAAGAGGATGCACCAAGATAAAAGGTTACAGAGAGCACCTGGATGGGCTGCACGCTCCCTTTCCTTTCCAGCAGCTTTTGCGATCTCTGTGTGCCTTTTGCTCTCTCTCACTTTTCAACTATTGATTTTATGAGACTTCTGGTTGCTTAGGGAAGAGGTGTGGAGAAAAAAACCCTCTGAAGTTCTGCTTCCTTGATATGCTCTGAAACAGGGTATACTTTGTTTAAAACTACAGTTATTTTCTTGCTTAACAGTAATTTAAGCAGCTAAGAAGGCATGCTCCAACTTGAGCTGTTAAAGTATACAGAGGGAAAAAAATCCTCATTTGTGAGCAGTAGGTCAGTTAGCATAGTGGGATGAAAAGATGGGATAAAATGAGCTCTGAAAAAACACTAGTTCAAGGAAAAATGAAATTAGAAGATCTGGTTTCAAATGCATGTATGTCAAGCATAAACTGCTTTGCATTTGCCATGAAATGTACACAGTAAAACTCTTTCTACCCTCTTAGCATTTACTACAGTGAGAATTTATTTCTCTAATTCTGTTACTTCTTAGCTTCCCCTACACCAACCCTGTGATAAGTTAATAAGATCTTGAAACACTCACATACCATCTTTTCTTCCCTTTCTTTGCTAGGAATGCCCTTTCTGGTCTTTGTCTACTGTTCCATTTCCATTTGCATGGAAATCGCTACTAAAACAGCAATATTTAGTATAATTTTGTAACCTGCTTCGTGAATGCACTTTCTAAAGATTTGTCTTATATTTCCTGGTAAGGCATCCTAGTTCTTAGCTGCAACAAAATTAAACGAGGCACTGGTTTTCTATTAAAGGAAAAATACGCATAGTTACATGGTGTCAGTCTTGACATCATGTAACAAGACAGCAATGACAGAGCTATTTAAGGAAATTATCTGGATACACTGGTAGCATAAAAATTGCTACTTTGTAATTTATAAAATTATAAATATACATCAGCTTACATCATACGAATGATCACATATATGAATGCAAATATATGCACCTGATCTTTCTGTGTGAGAGAGGTTTTTCTTAGCACTGACTGTATCCATATGCAAAAGGACAAAGTAGATCTCTCACACCACAAAAGAGACACCTGAATTGGATATGCAGAATGTAATTTCCAATCTGAATTGTATCTGCTGCATATTTACATGTCAGAGCTCTCTGATCTGCTTGCATGAGGAAAAAAGGGCTTGCTTGCTTAATACTACATAGCTATGCCCGATAAACCGTATTCTGTCATCAAATGCTCCTGTTTCCATTTGTAATGAGCATACACAATGTACAGTACACTTCCTTTGCTGTACAGTGCTGCAATTTGCTCACAGTTCTCTCTTCAGTGAATAATTACATTGGGAGTAGGTTAACCAGAAAAATAATAAAATTAATAGAGAAAGTAAATTCTAATTTGTGCTTTAGTCAAGGAAAAACTCCCATATGAATGACAAAGCTAGTAAAGTATAGTAAAAAAAAAAAGTCACATCTTTATATATTTATAATGTAATTCATATTCTTATAGGTCATAATGTCAAAATAAACACTATACAGTTAATTTGTTACGATTAATAAGGCATTCAGTAAAAGAACTACAGCTTGATATGTTAACCTGGTTGTGAGATGAAATGAGGAGTTGACTAGGAAGTTTAGCATTAGCTACATTTGGATATGTATGAATTAATCTATTTCATTGCAGTCACTTTGCTATAAAAGAACTACAAACATCTGAAAAATCAAGCCAATACCATAATCAAACATAACTATAAGTCAACTCCACAGCTGCAAGGTAAGAAAAGATTCAGATCAAATTGTTCCTTGCTCCTCAGTTCTCAAAAAGGAACAAATGCTTTGCAGCATCACTTAATGTACGTAAAGCCTAATCCATGCACTTAGAACATAGTTAGCTTTCTGTTCAGTGGGAAGGGAGAGCTCCACAGTTCTGGGGTTTGTGGCAGTGCAATCCTGACACTGCTTGAACACAAGACTGCAGAGAAATCACCTGTGTTTCAGGAGAAGTCTTCACTGAATAATTACAATCTACAGCATGGAAAGAGTGACATTTTTTGAAGAAAAATAAAGCACATTATAAGAAGGCTGTTTGGTTCTTAGGCACTCCTTCAAATGTCCTCTTTCCAACTACAAACACTGAAATGGATATGTGTGGCGGCGCTCTTCATCTTACTGGGGTAATTATTAGAGCATTAAATGAAGTTGGATTTTGCAGAAAGTAGCCATATAAACATAAATGGTCTGTTTTTTTATACTAATGGAGTATGTGAATACTAATGTCTTCAATCTTCTGTACTGTTTACTGTTGTGTGATTAAAGATATCCTATTTTCTTGTCACACATTTTGTCATTTTCTCTCCTCCACAAAACTGTTTCCATTAATTTTATCTCAATAGATTTTAGTATTGCACTTTGAATAGCCCATTATTGGATCATTAATATTCCCAGCTGTACAGCTTAGTAAAACAAAAACAAGAAGGATTTCCTGTACGCAATACCACATTTAATTACGGTATCTCATTACCAGGAATTTTGATCATAGTAGTTTTTAGGATGCATCAATTTAAATGTCAAAAAGCAGCAGATGAAACTAGACAGAACATCGAAAAGTGAAAAGTAGTTAATCTATTTTTTTAAAAGATTGCAGTGAAAAGGGCCATACACTTTGTTAAGTCAAAGGATAAGTGGCTAAATGGCTGTACCAAGTGTTGGGATCAGTTTCAGCTTTATGACCTTTAGATGAAAAATTACAATAGAAAGAATTAAAAAAAAAAGAAGTAAGACCTACTCTAAAATACTTAAGAGGTGCCTTGTTGGAATTTCATGCAGAACATACTGTCATCTCAGGAGAAATACTTCATTATTTTGGGCAATATCTATGGTGGATGGATTACATTTTGCTTAGCACTCTTGGAGGTCACAAACTTAATGTTTTTTCCAAGTTTCTATAGAGGTACTCTGCCAATAAAGCTAAATTTTTAAGTTCCTAAGTTATTACAAATATGTGGAACAAACCTTACTTGATCATTAAGTGTGTACATATATATAATGCATATATATATATAAAACACTGCCAAGATAAAAATAGAGCCATGTGCTCAGCAGGATGAGCACAGATCACAGTCATTTCTCACCCCTCTCAGTTATTTTACTTTTTCTCAGTCTGAAACCCTTGCATTCCCAGAATATCACACTGTTCAGAGCTGCATTAGTCAAAACACTTTTAAAAATATTCCTATGCGAGTTTTTCTCCAACTCTAATTTAGAAACATTCAAAACTACTTATAGAATAGTTCCAGCATAACTAGAAAAGGTGGCAAGATCAGAAGTAAGGTGCAAAGATCAGAAATACGGAGTGGCTTCTGCATTAGAACTGTGACTTTTGATTTGGGAAGCAGACATCTAAAGAAGACTACAACAGAGATTTTAAAAATCATGAACAATGCTAAGGAAGTGAGCAGCACCATACCTCAATACAAATATTTCTTGTATTGCCCCTAAAATTGTAGCACTGTCTTGTGCTTGAAGTGGCAAGATGTGAATATGTTCATATTGGAGGACTTTTATTTGCAATCTGTCTTGAATCCTTTGTGGAATAGTCTAAATACAAGGTGGCTGCTCTTTCACAAGGGATTCCCAAATGACCTTGTGACAGCAAGCTATTGACCTGGACTATGCAGGATTTAGCACTGGTAGCCATTTCCATCTACATGACATGAGCTAGTCACAACTCCTTGGCCCCACAGGAATTACCTTGGAAACCGAGGGAAGTGCCGATAGCCAGACCATCTTCCTGGATGACTGCGGAAACCCAACAGCTTTCCTCAGGTAGCGATCATGTATTTCACAGGTGCGGAGAACGTACAGAGCACAAGCAATGGCGTAGCCGCCCCAGTTAGAGACCCCTGCAAAGAATGTCACCATGAAACCAAACCGTCAAAAAGTGGCTGGGTTAGTATCAACAGTGTCGGGTACCTGGGTCAGGAACCTAAAAACCTGAGCCTGAGAACTGTCTGGACCATCCGGTTCATAACTTGGTCCTTGCTGAACACAAACACATCTCTTTTGCTGTGAATTTTATTTCGTGCTGCTTTAGAAGGGAATTTTAACTATAACATTCAACTTTTGTTGTACATTAGGAAGGTACCTTTGTCCTTGAGTGCAAATTCTGAAAATTCATGTATGCATAGACACTTTAATTCTCACATAGATCACTTCTGCAGTCTTTCTTGTTATTCTTCCTTACTGAGCAACCTGGTCTAGTGAAAGGTTCCTTGCCCATGGTGGAGGGGTTCGAACTAAATGATCTTTAAGGTCTCTTCCAACCCAAGCCATTCCAGGATTTTATGATTCTGTGATTTTATTTATTGCAAGATTTTTCAAGAATACTTAGGATTTGCCCGACTATTTCCAATTAAATGCACTTTCTTCATGGAACATTCTTAGTTTTCCAGTTCTTCCATAGCCACAGGCTCTTACCTCTTCAGAAAATAGACATGATACAGAAATAGATTCATTTTCCAGGGATGACTTGGTCATACACAGAAAGGGCCAATACAAATTACTTGTAAAGACAAACGTTTCCTTGTCAGTTCTATTGTCAAACATCAGCTACTCTCCCACTCCACCAAAAATCCCTTACCAGCTACAACAGTAAAATCAGCTTCAACATCACAAGCTATAACATCTCCATTTTTTATGTGCTTCTTTACAGCATCTTTTACTTTGCCCATTCCTAATTCATTTCCTCCATCTCCAACACCTTCAAAAGAGAAAAAGACAAAATGAGTATGAATTCAATATATAACTAACATTCCATTTAGAAAGCATCCAATGTCTTCCCAGTCACTGTGACAGTTTATAGCTCCATATGAGACCGTTTATTTTCAATCCAAAACCAGAAGACTGTGAATTAAATAGTTGAAAGTATCACCTAGCACATGCCAACCTGTAAGTGTAAATATGCAATGTACACTGTGCGTTGCGTGCATGCAAAAGAAATCAAAATTATCAAGCACTTGTGAACTGCAGACAGAATTAACACAGTAAACTTTGCTCATGGAAGGCCTTAAATGAGCATTCTATATAATGTGTTATCATTAGTACAATAGCAAAAATAGAGAAAGAAGATAGAGAATTAATTCAAAATAACCCTGAGAAATCAGACAATTCTATAATAAAGCAAGTATAGAAAACTTTGTCTTGTTACAAGCTTTAATTTAAAAATGAGAATAGAAATAGAAATTGCAGAATGACAAATAAAAATATATGTGAGGACTTTGGCAGAAGCCAGACTGACTGCACTGCTCATCTGCCCTATACAGATCACTTTCATTGTGCCACAGTATAGGAAGAGCCCAGCCCTGTGTACTATTACTGTTTTCATTTTCCATCATTTATGGAAGAAAACAGCTAGTCTTTCCTTTTTTAAGATACAGAATGTGGGGCCTTGATACTTTTTGTCCAGAGAGAAACATTATGCATTTGTCTTAGTGATTTCAGTAAAATCAATGGGACCACTGTCATTTCTGGAAAATTCTGGGCAACACTAGTTTGGTGGCATAAAATTGCTGGATGTCATTCAGAGATCTGGAGATAAGGGTAACATATAAACTACACAAAAGCTGGATAGTACCTCTAGTCTCTTACTAATATATTAAAAAAAAAACATACAAAAAAAATCCATCTATTTAGTCAGAAACCAAATTTTCTCTTTCACCTATTAGTCTGAATGGCATCTTCTTAGTTTGAAGATTTTTACAGAATAATCCAGTCAATGTCTGTGAAACAGAACAGCGAAGAGCTCCAAGTCCTCACTGTGATATATCAGATTTGAATTTGAAATGTGACTGTGCTCTAATGCACAGCATGTGTTACAGGAGAGAAATTACAATATTTATAATTTACACTTCAAGCCCTGAAAACTGGTAAATTTAACACTTTTAGCAACTGCATAAATATCTCATATGTCTGTAACAAATTTCTTCTTTAAGTGAAATGGAAAGTTATTTCTCAGCAGCAATGTTTTATTTAACTCTTTAAGTCTATCCAGTCAAGTGGAGCACGTCTTACATAAAAGGATTTGCCATGGAACAGCTGATATTTTTTCTTATCTGCTTTAATAATCTGTTCACATTTATTTCACTGTTGGGATTTAATGGTGCCTTCTAAAATCTGTTTGTTGGTGGTGCTTTTCAAACAGATGATATAATCCTGCTGCCTCTATCCTTATATACAAATATGGAAGTTCTACTCTTTTGTAAGAATCCCACACAATGTTCTGATTTTTCTTATATTCAAAATTCAAATTTTTGCTTTTAATACTTTTTAAAAAGGCTAAGATGAATTCTTGTCTTTTTAAGATCATCAACAGCTTCTTTAACTGAAAGATATCAATTGTTCAGGGCTTTTTGTATCAGTCCTGCTTTGCTTTTCTTGTCTCAGTGGAAGTCCCATCACCAGGACTGCTGCACAATTAGTAGATCTCCTGCTGTGGATGGATCCCATTAGTGTGACACTGGGAGGAAAAGAACACCCCACTGAAAAGCTTCCTATACCATCTGTTTTCTTCTCCTTCCACACATGGGCAGGGGATTGCATTTACCGTAGGTCTCCAGAGCGAAATTCACCTGACAAAATGCAGCACCTCCACATGTGCCAGTCAGCTCGACTTCTTTTAAAGTCAGCAGAGAGAAACAGACCTTTCACATATTCAGTTCACCTCATCCCAAGGCAGACATCTCAAATATAGATGTCTGAAAATAGGCAAGAAGAATCCTCTTCTAAAGGTCCGAGTGCTTTTCAGGCAGAGGAAAAATAGTTCTGCCGGATCTTCCATGTAAGTTTTCATGGACTACATTGGTTTCTGAAACTACATTCATCAAATGTGCAGGAAATGTCAGTTTTCTACGATAAAAATCTTTTGTATAAAAGGGAAACGTGTGACCCCATTTTTTAATGCAGTACTTTGGAAAGCTTTTAATCGGCTCCTACATAAATAGCATATAGCTATGTCAATTGTATGACAGTTGAAAAGAAATAGCATGGGGTTCCAGTAGCATCTCTTAGTCTTTTATTTCAGTCTTGTGTGTGAAAAATGAGTCCTTCCAACCTCAGCCTTTCATGTCTTCTTGTTTTGTATATTGCTGAAGGTTGCTGCTTACTCCATGAGTTTTTATGGTATTGGTACCCATACAATAGTAGACATTGCTCATACTTTGTTTGTGGTCAGGCTACCAGATCAGATTTTTTTTAAACACGGGTCTTGTTTTAAATGCAAAACTTAACAGCAACTAATCAACACATAACAAATGTTGCAACATTTCCCCTCTCCACCTACTGACACAGTACTTCTTGCCACTGAGCATACTATCTAAAGACTTCTGTAGGCTGAAAACATGATCTTCCTAGTATTTTAGTCTATAAGGTTATCCAAGTATTCCACCCTAATGCTGTACAATATCAGCATTTATTTTGGAACTAGACATATGCCTCCAAATTCCTACTGACCATGAAGACAGTCAAATACAGCCCCACCAGAAAAAAAATTATCCTAATCAGTAGCAGTACATTGCTATCAGCAACAGGAGGCAAAACACAAAGGTCACAGCCCAGTGGCCCCATCAAGTTAAGCTTTGCAGAAATACATTGAAACACCCAAAAGCCAACCCAAGAAATCGTAACCCAAAATTACAAAACAGACATAAAAAGTCAGTGTGATAAGCAAAACAAGAAATGTTAACCAGGTAACAGATGATGTAAGAAACAATTACATTGTTTTTCTATGGACACTCAATTAGTTCTCCAGTGTAGAATATGCACTACACAAATTGCACAGATCAGAGCAGATCCCTTCGTTATCTTTTGAAGCCTCTAACTTATTAAACCATTTCCTATGTAGATATCTCTTTAGAGAAAGTTCACAGCACCGATAAAGAGTGAATCTGGGTAACTGTTTCTTTCCTTATTATTCACAAGCCTGTGGTATTTTTAATTAATGACATTTCACAGTATATTTGAACATTCAGCGAATGTTTGAAACAAACTACATTCTGCTGAATAGATTGAAATTTTCACCTGGTAGAATTCTCCAAACTCCACCAAATCATTAATGTACTTTGAGATGCTGTGGAAGATATTTGAAGAAATTAAAGGACTCAGGTTGCGATGTTACATAAGTAGCTAGAGAGACCAAGTCCTTGTATCAACAGTCTAAAATCAGGGACAGGAATTGAAATTAACTGTAGCAGATAAAGCTCCGGGGCATTTTGCTAGACATCTTTATGAAAGAGAGCTTTTTCTGTACTTATTCAGTCAATCTTTGGCTTCTCTGCTGAGATTGCCAAGAGAGTGCCATCTAGAGTGCTTCTTTTTGAATGTTAGAAGTTACTCCTTACAAATATGAAAACATCTGGATCATATCTAAATAAAGTCTATTGCAAATTTCAAGCTAATACAATAATTACCAGTGAACTCTTCTGCTACACAGCTTTTAAATAATACCAATACAGTGAAAGCAGACTATGCATTATCTCTGCAGGAGGTCTCAATTCTGTGGAAACATTTGAAAAACAACACTACTGAGAAGCCAAGCTTCTGTGCTTTTGGCAATACTCAGAAGTGAGTCCATAGCACTACTAAAAGAGAAGAAGCAGATATGTTCTGATGAGACTGAAATCAGCCTGGCATGAGTACTTATTTCTAATTTTGGGACACTTATTTCTAATTTAATTTTTAATATTTATACAGATTATATAGCTCCAAAACTCTGTTTTGGGCCACACAGTGTAGCAGGAAGCATTTGATTATACAAGGATGTTGTACAACACTTTATATATACCTTGGTCAATAGCATATTTTTTCAAAACCAGATACAATTAAGTTTTCAGGAAAAAAAGGACTATTGACAAAAGATAGAAGCACTGTTGACAAAAGCATTCTTATTAGATGCACTAGCCAAGGTAAATGTAGTTTTGGTTGGAAGGACAATACATTCCTTTCAAGATTCTTACTGTACATATATTTTGTTAGACAAGGCACTATTACAGTAAATGCAAATATCCCTGCTCAAAAGTACTGCTAAAGACAACATAAACTAAGATTCTATCCAGGCTGCTGCTTTAACTCAGGTGTATCTATCATAAAATAATACTTTATTAGGTAATGTTTCCATTCAACAATCATTTGCTTTTTATGCTGCCTTTCACACATAAAATACAGAATAAAGTCACTGTCAAAAACTGCACTTAGAGAAGTGTATGTACACACACTGATTTTTAGGTAATACACCTGGGCCTGCTTTTTCTATCCTTAAATAACTTCTACAGTTTTTTTTTTTTTGGCTGTGAAAATCCTTCAATAGAACCTTGTAATTTTTCTGCAGCAATGGTCTCTTCAGATTCAACCACAACAAACAGCTGTAGCCTGTAAGCAGCTATTCAGCACCTGCCTCTTGCTCCCCTTCACTTCCACTAAGAGTTCCTGTTTTGAGTTTCTCTTGCTTCTGAGAGTATCACACAAACTCACACATACCTGTTGTTGTCACTCCTGGAATGGTTTGTGCAGCTAAAAATAATTCATCTATGGGATCCACGAGATGTTTAATGTTAACTTTCCTGGCATTATAATAATTGCCATCAGCAGCCATCCCAGCACGCTCTATTGCTATCAGGTGATCATATCTGGTTAGAGGTGAGTGAAAAAAACAGAGGAGAGGAGTCAAAGGTGTGATTTTCCCGTGTGCTTGGTTCTACTTTTTGACCACTTGGGATTTAAGGTAAAACTTGGATACTGTTTTTTTATTTCTGAAGGTAGTTCTCTATGGTTTTTTTCAAAGGTTATTTCAGGTTTTTTACAGCTTTAGTGCAGCTCCCCCAAACCACATTTGCTACCAAGAAATGGAGAAGTTCCTGCAATCCTCCTAGCCAGCAAAACTTTGGGTCAGCCATCTGGTCTGGCTCTGTTCTACATTAAAATCGACAATATCTTGTAAAATATTAGTCTCTGTTAGTGTTTTCAAAGAAAACAAAAAAGTAGGCAATTAATGATCATCTAAATCCTTTTTAGTGCAAATATATCTCTGCCTAAAGAACATGGTTTGGCAAATATCCATCTCGTTCTAGTTAGGGAATGTTTTGGTTTGGGTCTTTAGATTCAGGAGACTTTAATTCTATGGCTATTTTGCTAGTTATGAAAATAGACAGATGTACTGCAGATGTCCTACATTTTAAGCAGAATTGTAGTACTCAGTTCTGCCACTACATGTTAGAATTAAGTTATTTTGCTTCTGTTTCTTCAATTTTACTGCCAAGAGGCTACTAATTCTGCTGAATTACTTAATATTCTTGTGGTTGGGTATCTACAATGATTCCAGAGACCTTAAGCAGGCTAGTTGTCTACTTAAACAAAAAAACACTTCAGCTTTTTTGGTCCTAGGGATCAATTTAAATAGAATCTGGCTGTACTTATATATATAGCTATAAAACACATTTTTAAAACAGTATTAAAAGACAGTATCATGCATACTATTACAGTATACACTAACCTGTGAAAAGAAATAGGAATTGAGTAAATACCACAGTGAAAGATATTTTTATTAAAGAGAGCAAACTGAAGGCAACTACATTAAAATGCTTTACAAAGAAAGATCAATAAAAATGAGCAATGTATGCCTACAAGGAAATGTCAGTTGTCTGCTAAGTAATGAAATGTGTGTACAGCTACTTAGAAAATTCTCCAGTGCATTAACTCTAATCACGCACTTTGTATAAATTTGAACTTTTGTCCAACATTATACACTAAACAATGCATATGTGAACAGATCACATCAGCACTGAGAAATGCATGCATGCATTTGTAATTTATGCTCCGGCTGCTAAAGAAAACAGGATGATAGCTTTCACACCATTACAAACACATACATTTTATTAAGTCAGATCAAGTTCCCCAGCTGTCAGATATGACAACTAGAGCCAAAGCAGCTAAAAAATGAACACACTCCACAACTCTTTTCCTATCTCTTTCACTGACTTTGACATAATACTTTCTGATTTTCTCATTTAAAAATTGATAATACAATATACATTGTGTGTGTGTATATATATATTTATATATATATAAAATACCTGCCAAAAACTTCTAGAAAATTTTCAAAGGAGAACAACTATTGATTTATTAAGAATTTTTTCTTTTTATACTCCAGAAATGTATAATTGCAGAATAACGTGGAATTATGTAACTGTGTGTGCTCCAATAACTGTTTTTGGCTTCAAAGGTTGTTATGTTCATTCCAAGTCTTAAGGATCTACTTGTAACCATTGTGCCTTCTTAGACCATGGTCATTATTTTTATTATATCTTTACACAGTAGAGGTGTGACCCATTCTCAGAAACCGAATACACATACCTCGGTCTTCCAGAATTTCCACTGTCACACAAAAATTTTAAAGCTGAATCAGCATTTTCCCTTTGATAACTCAATAGAGGGATGGGTTTCTTCAGAATTCCTACAGGAAAACAAAACACAATTCAGGTACTACATACCTTTTATTTTGTTTAATATGTTTTTGAGTAACTTAAAAACAAGAAGAAAGCAAAATGACTAGAATCGTAAGAACTCAATGTCTTTACACTGTTCTTGGTAAGTTCCTTGAATGCTTACTTTAATGTAAACTTGTTTAAATGTTAATGCTAGTAAATGGAACCTTGAGATAGAAAACAGGTCTACAAGAACAAGAACAGACATCCAGAATTTATCCCAAACAGTTAATCCAGAATCAGTACTCAGATATGTACACATTAACTTGATGCCAGCTATTGTAGCAATGCTGAGCAGAGCTGAGAGGATGAAGTCTGGTTCATGCTCTGGGGAAAAAAAAAGTCCTGTACTAAGTGACAGTGAGATTAAAACCAAAGCAAACCTTGGCTCAAATTAGCAAGATAAAAACCGAACCCTCCATGTTTCTTACCTAGTTGAACAGCTTCTTCAATAATCTTTTTATTCAGATCCATGGCTCTCTGATCTGTAACTATGGCAACCTCTTTTTCCAAGGCCTGCAGTATAGCTGCAATAGCAAGGGCTCCCGGGGGCCCGTCATTCTCTTCTGGTGGCTCATAAGTGAAGTGGGTAGGAAATCCAGTTGTTATCAGCACAGACTGGGCATGGGAGATGGCCAGGCAGGCTTTCAGAAGCTCATCCTGGCGCTGCAGGTGAATTATACCCCGGTCTCCTACAAAAGTGTTTTTAAAGAGAGCAGTACACTTAAATGTAGCATTCCCTTTCTGAAGTTTCCCTATGAGTGAAACTACATACTATAGTGACATAAAATGGGTTAAAAAAACAAGAGAAAGAAAAACCTCTGGTCAAGGCAGGAATTAGGGTAATTTCCTCAGGAAACCCAAGAAGGTGTAGGATATGAGTAATGAAGATAATGAGCTCTGTTTCCCGGTTAAGAATATCAGATAGCTGGATTTTGAAAATTACTATACCTAGCATTTCTAGGTATTAGTGTAAATAGCTTTTTCTGAGAGCTTACTGCATATTTTTTCCTTTCCTTTGGCCCCTACTTTACTCTGATCTGTGACAACAGTCCTGCTAGACTTTGTCTAGCTACTGAAGCTAGATTGCATCTCAAGCACCTCAGACCTCACATAAGTTCTGATGAAGACTTCAGATGTCTCTATTTAACTTATGTTTGTTTAACTTCACTTTGTCTCTATTTAACTGATCTAACTTAGGGAAGAGCTAATTCCCAAATAAATTTTACTTAATGAAATGATTAACCACAGAAGTGAGGTTTCAGAGATATTAGAAGTTACACTGGGACTTTTACAAACTCAATCAAAACAGTGGTATCTAGGTGATTGTTACATGTTCTTGTAACACTTCATGTAGTAGAGAACTTTGTTATCAGACCTTAAGAAATAGGTGAATATTAACAGAAGTCTCTTCTCATGGGTCAGTCCCTGAAGAGACAACGCTGTGCTATCTGTGTACGGCTCTAATTGTTCAAACACTTCCTATCTCCTCTCCTTTCCCTGCCACTCAGAGACAGAAGCTCAAGGCTCAGTCCTTTAAATTGCTAGCACTCCTGAAAACCACGAATATCAGCATGAGGTGCCGATATTCATCAGCTGACAGAAGTAAGTCTTCATTATTGTTTTCCATCCTCCTCAAATCTTCATATTTCTCAGTCCCCCCACCCCCACACCTTCCTCTTTTTGTACTCAGTTTCCCCTTTGCCATTTCTCCCTCTGTTCCCTCCTAAATAACATACAGGCAAGACATATATAGTGGACAGAGAAAAATGTTCTGAACAAAACTTAAGCTAACAGAAGCATGGAATATAAGTCTCTTAGAAGTGGGATATATTAACTGAGACAAAGTACTGTACTCTCCTTTAGGAAGAAAATGAGCTAACTCTTACGTTAAGTCCTGTATTTCTGCACAGCCTGGCATCGTGCCAAGCTGAACTCCAGAGAGTGGGAAAAGGAGAGGCCTTATGAGTAAAAATAAACAGACCCAAATACATCCACACAGCCCAAACCTGGAGCTTGGGAGCACTGAGTGTAAGCTGTTTTCCACTACTGCCTACAGAGGATTTCAGAAAATTTATGGGACACTGAAATCAGAATTTGCAGCAGCCAAAGGGGACTAACTCCGAGTATGTATTTTAGGAATGGCTGTCCTATTCAGTTTGCCTTTACTTACCTCTTGTCTTGTACACATGTGCAGCACAAACTCTCAACCTTCTGTAGTGACCTGGTCACTTCTGCCCATCACACAACACCTCAGGAATGAATACATCAGCAGAGCTTAATGTAATTCCACCCATCAGAGAGGGGTGTTTGAAAAACACAGGCAAGGACTAGAATTTTTTGGTAGGAGCATAGTCATGAATATATGTAAAGAAATGTGCTATTTACTCAACAGTGAATACCCATGTAGCTGTTAGCAGCATGATGAGGTGCCCTGTACTTTACATTGCAATTTCAGTTTTATTCAGTAACAGCTCTTATTCCCTGTGGACTCTCCAGTCTGCTGCAAACATCGATGCTTCTTTGTACTTTGAGAGTATATAGTCATCAACATCAGATATTCCATTACCCATAAGGTTGAATGGTTTTGGCCAGACCCTGATATTAACTACAGTAACAGAAAACAGAAGACCTAGTTGTATAAACTCACTGTATTCCACAAAGAATTCTTAAAATTGCCTTTAGAGTCTTACTGTGTTCTAGAATTTTATAAATATCAAAAAAGTCAGGATAGATCATATCTACCTCAAAACAAATCCACTAAAGGAAGACAGTTTTTGTTTATACCTGGATCTATTCCAATCAGGGTCTCTAGAGTCTTTATCTTTTGGGCTGCTTCTGCTGACACAATACTGAAATGCAGCGGATCTTGAGAAATGCAGTGCACCTGTGGGACTCCTCTTAATGATCTGACATTGTTGTTCTTTAGGTCGCTGATGAACATGCAGCCTGGAGAATGAGTAAAAGCTAATGGAGCTCCTAAAATGGATGAAAAAACTCCAGTTAAATGTTATTATTGCAATATATTGAATTATCAGAGTGATGAAATTGCAAATAGCTACTTAATTTAACAACACAGAGCCTATGCCTGATGACACTTATAAAAACAGGTGATATTTTAAGTTACACTGCAGGAATTAATACACTTTGAGAAAGAAACGTATGCACATACATCTGAAAATGCTTTCACTTTTAAAAGCTCATGGAGGTAGTTGAGATCAGTTTTTTCCACAGTGTTCTCTCAAGTCTAAACTTGAGGCAACTTAGGAACAGAACCCTCCCAGGATGTTGGTTGGGAATTGAGGCTGAAACTTGGCTTTGACATGCAAGAAGAAACTAACGCATTGACGTAATGACAAGATAATGCTTGAGTTTGCCCAGTGTGTTGGTGAAATTGTCTCTGTAAGAATTAATTATTTTTTCAGATTCTAGAGTGCTGCTGGAAATTATAATATCTCTCTTGTACCTTTGAATATCCTCATAATAGTTATATGACAAAGCTGTCAACTCTGCCTGCTGGCCAGGAGTAGTCCTCTATCAGATTAAGAAAACAGGGACTAGCATCTCTGTGCAGTGTCTTGCCAAACTAGCTAGAAGAACTATAAACTGGCAAAGAATAATGACAAAAGGTGATCAGTAAGCCTTAGCAAAGGGAATCCAAGTAGCCTCTAAAACCCTGGAGAAAAACAGGCTTGTTTAGACCTGACAGTATAGTAGCTCCCTAAGCTGAAAATATTTAATGTCTTTTTATTAATTCCAGAAGTCTGGATCTAGATGATACTTGATTTGGCAAAATTGGTACATTGTTAGATAAATCACAACTCAAGCAAAAATTTACTTCGTTAGGAGAGTGAAAGGGAAGGAGATATTTCTTCAATAAGTATATATATCCTAGGTTTGTGCTAGATCTGCTGGGAATCTATGGCTAGGAATTTTCAAGCATGTGGTGAACACAGTTGTAGAGGTTTAGTATACCTTGCCAAACCCCTGAGCAGACAATATTTTTTGTGACAGGGTAGCAGATTTGTCTGAAGTATGGGTACTGGTGGTATGGCAGAATTTTAACTGCCTAGCTGAGAAAGAAGCACACAAGATAAGAACTGTCCAAGAAGTTCCTGGAATGCAGTGATGACAACTGGTTTTAATAAAGAAAATGGAGAAATAAGTAGAAGGCAGCATAGACACATGCTTTGGGCAACAGATTGTAGAGATGTTAGCAATATTTTTCTCTCTCTGCACCAAGGATTCATGAGGAAGATGAATAGAACTGCTGAAGAACACAGGAAAGAGTGGGATTTTCAGCTCAGATTTGGGATTGGAGAAAAGAGATCATATGTAAGAAAGAAAACGAAGTCAATTCTAGAGCTTAACATATTTAGAGCAGGTGATGAGAGAAGTTCAGATAAACATCTTTAAGGAACTACAAGGATATAACAGATTCTGCAAGGAGACAAGGACAAAGCAGATGATCTCCAATGTTCTCCCATTATACTGCCTACGATTATTAAGCTTCTTTTTCAGTAAGAATGAAAATACAGTATTTCATTCTATTTCATTCCCTACTAGTGACTTAGAGCAGTATATAATACTGTCACTATGGTTTCCTTGCCTCTTTTTGCCCTTTGTGCTCATGCCTGTTATAAATGACTGCATAGAGTGCAGGACAACTCTGTGCAGTGGACAAAGCTTCATTTATGTACAGTGTGTCACATTTACTTAATTCTGGAACAAAATCTAAAAGCTCTGCATTCTCCCTGAGACAATTATGAACCCTTTTCCAGGTCAATCAATTTGCTAGCTCTTGACAACATTTTGGAAAGATTTCTGGCTGCTCCTTTTTTTTCCCCATTCTTTTTTTCCTTTTTCCTTTACTGTTGTTTTACTGTAATGTAATAAGAAGTAATATTTTAAAAGGAAGCAACTTAAAAATTAATGCCTTTAAACTTCTAGTTTTTTATAATGCTTAAAAAGATGTTTTGATGCTGCCAGAGCTTTAGATTTGAGCCTTTAAAATACTCACACAAAAGTGGTGAAATTTCAGTAAGAATTTTCTTTAAAGTAGATCTGTATTTCAGAATGAAAAACAGTCTTGCCAAAGGCTTTTTTGTTGTTTGGTTGGAGTGTTTTTTATCTTACCCTGAAATCAAGCCTTCTAATCAGCCAACTCATTCAGCCTGCATTAAAAAAAAAAAAAAAATGGAAAAGAGTCTTTAAACATCACATACTGCAGCTGATAACTGCTTCAGCTCCTGTTACACCACAGGCCCAAAACACTGGAATATCACCAGGGTGAAGGTGAACTGGATCTCCATAGTCTGGTTTAGAAAGATCTTGTATTCCCAGCAGACCTGGAATTGATCAAAAATGAAATCATGAATGATTCTAATTAAGCAGTAATACTGCAAAGCCAGGGAGGTGGAGCCCAAACATCATTTAGTGACACTGAGCTAGGAGTGCAAGAGTGTCAAGTCCCCTTGAAGTGGCACATTTAGTTTGCTTTTGAGTGCGTATCCTCAAGAGCCTGAGCTGACTTGTTTTCCCTTTTTGATAACACCAGTAAAACTGTATTTACCTTACTTCTGTAACAAAATACAAGCTAGACATCTATGCTGAGTTTCCAAGACAATATAAATCTTCTCTATCGACAGAAGAGTTACATTCATAACACTGGCAAACAAGAATAAATGACTGCAATGCAAAATGAGTTCTTTCTAGAACATATTTTCCACTGCTTTCACTTCCTACATTCTTTAGCTAGAGCAATGATCAACCTCTCTTCTTCCTCTCTAGCTTAGATAACTACATCTCATTCTTAGCCAGCTTTCACTAAATTGTCTTCTGCTTTATTCTAACACCTACTTTATTCTAATACCCTAATCTGGGTCATTCTAAGTACTTGTTATCTTCCCTTGTTTTTAAATTTTTCAGATGCTCTAATATACCACTGTCTTTTCTGGAATTAATTTATATGATCTGTGTATATAATAGTTTACTCTTTTCTGTTACAAATAAACAATGGAGTCCGTCAATGGTCTTGTTCCTTTACTCATACAATGACTTACTGCTAGTTCCTCAGATTTAAGTACTCAGATATATTACTCAAATATATTACCGGAATGTCATGTTAACAGTGACATCTCCTTCCATGCCCAGCAATGTGATTCTTCTGTGTATGCAGCCCATGATTACCAAATTTCTGACAGCAGAGGGGAAATTATTGCAGGTGTTTGGTTTTGATTTTGTCTTTTTGAAACAGCCTCCTGTCTTACATTTTTTCCTCAATTTTCCCTTGCAAAAGAATAGGCCTATATTTGTCCAAGCTAGATTTAAAAAAAAAATAATTCTTGTCATATTTCTATTTATTCTGTCTTAAGTGTTGTGCTCAATGTATGCTATTTCAATATTTTTTAAAATAATGCAGTATTTACTTTCACAGTCATCTACTAAGACACAAAATGCATCCACACATACTTCTCCCCATGTTGTCAATCACTGCTACCCTGTCCCTGGAATCTCTGGCAGCACGAAAGTACTCACATATAAATGAAACTGCACACATCTCAGAGAAATACGATTACACTTTTTCCAAAACCACCACTGCCATATAACCTAATTTATCTACATCAGAGAGCTATCTTTTATCTAAGAAATTTGTGTGTTCAGCTCATTCAAAACCTTTTTTTTCTGGTTTGGTTTGGTGGTTGTTGTTGTTTTAAATTCAGGTTTGGGACCATTAGAAAGGATTAAAACATACCAAATTCAGTGGTGTAGGTATTTCAGTCCTACCACTTCCCATGGTTTCCCCCATCACTTTTATACAAAGTAAAGCACATGCAGAATGAAAAATGAAAAGCACTGACCAGGGTCACCCATGTGAATTGGTGCTCCGTGGGCTTCTTTTAATTCAGACGTTGCCAGCACAGCTGCTTCCAACTTGCTTTCAGGAATAGGTCTCATTGTGACTACTAAGTTGCAGCAAAAGGGAGAAACGCTGTAGCAAGGAACAGCTGTCTGGCAGTTCAAAAGAATCCAAGGTGTTAGCAGGAATATTGAATAATACTTTTAAAATATTAGAATAAAAAAGTCTAAAACTTTGTGCTGTACTTGACTTTAGAAAGGCTGCATACCAACATTCATTTTAAATCCTTTAAAGAAAAATTCTTAGCATCCCATTTTTTTTCCTGTAAGATTCCATACTCGAGCTTCATCATATAGATCACTAAAATTTTCAACATCATGCATTTCTTGCTTCAGTGCATACAGCAAGGTGAGCTCAGGATACTCTGAATGTTTGTTGTTAGAAAGCAATGGTGTGTTCCCTATACAGAAAGGGAAAAATAAAAAATCATTGCACAGCTACAAATCTATTTGGTCTGAATCTACCCTCTGTACTTGAATACAGTGCTCTGTAACATATCAGGCTCAGGAACTGCTGCTGGCAGCACCCACTTCTACAGAAGAAGCCAGTTCCAAACATACAAAATCTTTCATGCCTCTAGAAACATTCTATGGAATTCATAATCTTCACCAATGGGAATCTGAAACATCTTTTCTATTTAGAAATAAAGCAGGGCGGCTTTTTAAAACAAAATGTCTGATATCTGAGTTGCAGTTGAACAGAAGATATGCAGAGAGCTAGAGCTGTCTAGAAAATGTTCATTTAAAGTCTTTATAATAACAATAATCACACCTGTCACTGAAGAAACACACTGCAGTTCTTCACAGCATCGATGTGCTATAAAATTTTCCTAATTCTGAAAAGTTATAAGCAGACACATAGTTGTATTTTTTTTTTTTAAGCTTTGTAGAAGGACTCACATATGAGTTACATTTGCACCTTCATTTTGACCAGAAGCATAGAAAAAGATTGTGAAATGGTAACACTGAAAACAACAATAACCTTTGTCTAGTAGACCTGCATCTGCACTAAATGAAAAAGGCATGCAGCTATGTACTTCGTCATTCTTAGTCTATCTACTGGAGCCAGACCTCTGTTAACATTAAAATCTACACCATAAACTTTTTGAGCACAGTCATAATTTTCAGTACTATGGTACTCAAGTCTTCAGGAACATCTTCTGTCCCAGAGGTCTGGATTCATAGCAACTGTGCAGTTTAAAGGTTCTACTTTCACTAAAAATGTCCAAAATGTGGCTGTTGTGCAGAAGAAACTGCTACCATAATGGCTCATGAAAGGAATATTCCAACTGCAAGTTGGAGTTGGTGTGGAGAGGAGGACATGTAAAGGTATGGTCAGAATAGGGGATGGGTCACTGATTGAAACACAGAGGACAAACCAGAACAGAATCCAAAAGAAATGGCCACCACAAGACACAGGGGGAAAACTTTGCCACAAAAAATGAATAAAAAAGCAGATTGGCCTTGCACTGAACTGGGGCTGGGGATATTCTACGCTGTATTTTTATGCACTCAGCACTAGAACGTGCCTGAAGTTACTGTACAGGTAGCGAAAAAAAGTTCTTATTTTGAGCAATAGGTATTATGCATTCAACATGAATATGGACAAAACTCACAGCAAAGTTACAACAAAGACTACGTGTGTGTGCATATACTTACTTTGTACATGCTTACATTGCATTTTTGCTCAACGTTTCTTACAGGAATGCCCGCACTTTGGACTGCTTTTTCAGAAGAGAAGCTGCAGCCTAAATAAAATGTCACCATGTCCTTAAGCTGTTCAGAATATTCCTTCAAACTTTTCAGTGATCCAGTACAAACTCCATGCTCATATACTCTGTACTGTAGGCAGTCAGTTCTAGTGAAAGAAGAATTTATCACAGCTTTAGGATACTTTTTGTAAACAAGGTGAATTGGTTGAATTGACATTTAACCCAATATCAAAATACGAGATACAGCCTACTTTATCCACTTTTTTCTTTCTGAGTAAGAATGAAACAAACATTCAAAACTCCCATAACACCTTTTTGTGCACAAAACCAAGCCTGTAAACACAACATGTTAGAGTTTGAGATTTTTTAGGTTTTATAGGTTAAGGCCCCCTATGTATATCTTGCCTCAGGCTTTCAAAAACTAGGAAGCTGGTTTAGTCTTGTTTTCAGTGTTTACCACAGGAATGCATCTTTCAAATTTCAGAGACTCTACAAGTGTCATGCACTTACCATGGCCATGTTTCTACTAAATAAAACAAATGTAAAACCTTAACATTTAATTCTGCTGGCTCAGACTGCAAAATATTTAGAAATTTCACAAAATTTCACCTTTGCATTAGAGAAATACTTGTAATGCTGACAATTATCCTAGCATGTTTCTCAAGAACAAGATGATCAGGCTGTTGGACATAGTTTTCACTCAAAGGTATAACTCCAGGAAAAGAAATGTGTTCAAAATGTACAACTGTGTAAGGAAGCTGTTTCCTGAAACCCTCCTAATCACCACCAGCATTCACTGCAGTACGTTGACAGGCAGAGTTGGTCTGTAGTTACCTGATATCAGAATCACTACTCAGAGAAGGACACTTCCAATCACCTGGTTGACTTCTGTACAGCAGTGGCAGGGGTCCATCATTTGCACGGCAGAACTTCTCAAAATCATCAGCCAGGGACTTGTGCAAAATCACAACATTGGCCTGTTTATAGCCTGAAATTGTGGAAGGTTGGAATGAATTTATTCAGCTTTCTGTTTGTGAAACAATAACTTTTCCATATAGATTTCTTTAGATGGTCTATAAAAAATTACCCAGAGGAAGTTTTTGATTCAGAATGCTGCAATTAAATTAAACAACTTCTTGAAATGTTTCAAAAATCAAAGCTAGATGTGCTCTGTATGTGAAGTCATTCACAGCTAAAACAGTTGGCAGGAATGGGTATTAGTAGAATATGAAGACAGCATAATTACTTTCATAAACATTTCTATGAATTTATATATAAGCATAATTTATTACCTAACCTGGGGAATTAGTGTTCTGTAGAAAAATGCTTTACTTTGCAAATGTTAACCCAGAGCCAAGGAAAGGCCACTTTCACAATTATTTTTCACAATACCAAGCTATAAATCATGTCCAGTACAACACTGAACCCCTGGTATCTTGATGTTTGTAGCCCATTCTTAAGAATTTACTGGCTAGGGAATTTTATTGTGGGCTGCAATTAAATAGATATAATTAGAGCTCGGAAAAAACTCCTGCCTGTCCCCTGATCCTCAGTCATTTTCACTATTGCTAAATAAAGAAACCCTAAAATAAAAGGAACTGCTACACTTTCTTAACTTGGAATCAGCTTTGATTTAAAAGGTTGTTGACTACTACCATAAAATAGCTTCTAAAGACATTAACATTTTTGCAATGAGTACCACTGAAGAAAGGTCCCATTCATTTATTTGGCAAAAATTTATTTTCTAAACAGTAGTAGTTAATACCAAGGCCATTTAAATTTTCCTGCATGTAAATTCCAGCTGTTCAAATACTTAGAGGAAACTTGGAGTACAACTTGTCTGTGGTGTATATACCCAGCAATTAACAGTCCCTAACTCCTGTACTGATATGCTCTTGAAAAGTTATTATCATTACTGCCTTGTATCAGTCAGGTGAGTAGGAGGCTGCATAGAAGCATTCTCTTTCTTAAATACTGCATTAATCTGTCATCCAATCTTCAAATCAATGATCTGCCTTCAAAGGCTGTAGGAAATCAGCCAAATCTTATTCTTGACCAAAGCTAACAAAGAAATCCAAAGATAAAATTCTATTCCTGATGGAAAAATGCAAAGCAAAGGCTGAGGTGAGCATGTATTTGCATACTGAATTTGTCCACAAACTGCTCTCTTGGGAGTACTCAGCACAAAAATTCATTTTATTACTGGCAAAAGTTACTAAATTCAGAAAGAGTTTCTTGCTAAATACAGAAAAATATTTTTGTTAAATAAACATACTAAATTTACCACTGAATAAAATACCACATTCGGTTACCCCTCAACTTCATTCCCTACCATCCATAAGAAATCCACAGGCACTTTCTACTTTGCTAGTGATATTCATGAATTCTTAAAATTATGGTTTTATTCAGTGCATTCAACTCAGACAACCCTGAATTTAACATAGTAGTTACAGCTGACAGACTGAATCTGCAGTAAAATATTCGGTAAACTCAGGAAACTTCATCATATCGTTTTGAGAATTTTACTGCTGTTCCTGATAGCTACTCTTACTTTTTTTGTATGGATGAAAAGATACTTTTTCCTTCTCATATCTTCTTACATATTCACTTGCATTAGGGAGACGTCATTATGAATGTATTCACAAGCAATGGTAGTGAAGCTGAATGTGCTCATCAACCCAGGCACTAATTCAACACATTCATGTTACAGTTCAGAGAAGTTTAGAAAGAGCTTTTAATTTCTTTGGTGAATGACAGTGAGGACAGCAAGAAGTAATTGGTTTACATGTGTATCATAATATCATAACAACAACATAAAACAATTTCAAGGATTCTGAGAAATTCCAATTACCCAAGTATTCCAATAGTTCTTTTAGTCTTTGTATAATGAAGCTGTTTGCTCATGAATTCATTTTGTATGTCAGCAATACTTTTTTGAAATGTTAGAACTAATACATTTAAACTTATTGCAGAATTACATTCACTTAAAAATTCAGCTGGGGCAAACTCCAGATTATTAACATTATAACATGTTTTTCATTAGTATTTTTCAACTAATGTTCTGATGGAAAAGAAAACCACCATTTCAAGACTTGTGATCTATAAAATGACTTTTAACATTCTTATGTTATATTAATGCTACTGCACACATCTTTGCTGATCAGCTATTTGCCACAGTATTTTTAATTGTTACCTTTTAAAGTTGATCAGAACAATGACAGACTTTTCTGCTGTAAAAGTCCAGCTATGAGAGGCAAGATAAAACCTGATCTTCCAGAATGCATTCAATTATCTGAGTACAATACTAATTTTTCCCTCCCCCTTATAATTCCCAGTCTTGCCAAGTCTGTAATTTCCACCTTTGCAACAAATGAAGCAGAAAACCACTGCTAGAACTATACATCTCAAATTCTTTCCCAAAGCATATCTGATGACTTAAGTAAAGCAATGCCTCTGTGAAGAACACAGTAGGTCACCCTACACATGTGATAATAACACAAAAAAACCCGGATGTGGTTAAAGATTTTCCAAGTATTTTCTGCACCCATAATTTCTCAGTGACACAACTGGGAGCTGAGGGACTGCAAACAAAGTCCATGTACCTTATTCAGGTAGGATGGTGTATTTCCTCTTAGCTTTCTGTTTAAAAACCACTGTCAGGTGCTTACAATGTGATTTCAAAAACACCCAAGGACTTAACATTTTCCACTTAATATTTATCAACTTAACATCTTCTTCTGTTTTATTTTACTGCTTTTGATATTTCTACATTCCTTCACAAACAATAAAAAGAAAACACATAGTGATGAATCTAAAATGGAACCACTTTTGCACGTAGAGCAGTTAGGTTTACCTACCTTCTGCCATTCCTGAAGTATTACTAATATTGAGTCTGTTTAATCGAATTATTCTTCTCAACACATGGGGAAGGAGAGATTTCAAGCCTCCTGTCAAAAGCATCTCTTCATCCTTAACAGAAAGATAATTACAAATTTAAACACAAAGCACTTTTTTTTTTTAACATCTTAAATGTTGATTTTCTGGAAAACTTAGCTTACATTTCCTCCTCATGTTTCACCAAAGTTATTATCACTGGGAAATTCTAAGTTATAACTCAAAAGGCAGTTCAAAGTCAAAAGGTTATTTCACTGACATTTTATGACTATGTGCAAATGGAATCTTTCAATAAATTAGCTGGAGACATTTCTCTTTAATATTTCTGATAAAATGCAAAATTTTGCTGGCCTGTAATGTAAGAAAAAGATTTCTTTCCTTTTCTAGAGTATTCACTTTTCCAAAATTCATTGTAACTTTAAAATTCTAAAAGCATGAATGGATTTACTTACCAACCTATAATCTGTAATATTACTTTTCTGATCAAAGTGCTTTTGGACAATTAGCAAGGCAATCTTGCAGTAAAGAGAGAACTATATTCAGAAAATGTCATTGTAGTACATTCCATCGGTATTATGCTTTTCAAATATTAATTATGAAGTGAATACTCCCATGGCTATTCTTCCACTGGGAAAGTAGACATATAGATGTTTAAGTCACTTGTCATATAATTTGGAGTAGGCACAGAAGTAAGTACCCTAATTAAAATCAATATCTGTCTCTTTTTACATCTTTTAAAGATTTAAAATGTCTTTTTTTCTGCAATCCAGATGAAGTTCAAACACAGTTTTTTTCTCAGCTAAACTACCTAATAACTAAAAAGGGTTTATTACATTACTATTAGGAAAAAGTGAGAGTTAAATCATGGTAAAATACCAACTTAGCTGCTTAAGATTTTAATCTTGGCTACTTTTAGGTAAAGAAACTGAACTATACTCCAAGTACTCAAATTACCAACCTCCAAGGTTTTCTTTAATTCAGAAGAAGCCATTCTTGATGTCATTCATAAGAAGTAAGAAATACAATAGAAGGGGTGCTGCTCTTTTTAAAAGATGCTAGTAAATTAATGTATAATGAGGTGTTACAACCTTCTAGCAAAAGTTAACTTCTCTGTTAAAGGTCAACAGTTTTTGTGTTATAGCTATTACAGCACAAAGTTTCACAGTGGAGTGGAATATTGTGAAAATTTATACCTCTGAGCAATCATTCCTTAATTAACTCGAAGAGCAGTGGTATGCTTTGACTGAAACTGCGCTTTCATCCTAGTCTGTCCAAAACTTTCTCAAAGCTTTTCCCAATGCTTTCATAATTCAGAGAGGTTAGGTTAGGTATTCTGAAATTTAGAATAAGCTTTGTATCTATTCTTATTTCTGAAATTTTTATATAACACTGTTAGCCAAAACAAAACACTGGGTTTTATTTTTCCTGAATTCTAACTTACTACTTTCTAACTCTTCTCTACTTTGCTACTTTTACATTATCACTCCCTATGCTGCACAAAAATAGTCTTCATTACAAAAACACAATCAATTCCAAACACACATTTTAAAGATAAAAAGGAATGTCACTGAGCACTGAACCAGGTCTGTAAATGCCACTTTAAGAGATATAATTCTTACTGTAAAGAGAATTTCCAACACCAATCTGGAATGACTCATTCAAGAGGTTTCCAATTTAATAGAGTGATCCTAATTAAAAATTCCAGATGTATTTGTTAGATTCTTTCAGATCACTTTTCTTTATTTCTTAGTATCTTTCAAGCCATCTAAATCATCTATAGGATTGATGGCCTGCTACTGATGAACTACTGGCTTACTTGAAAGACAGTCTGAAGCTCAGGAAACTAGTCTGGAACAAAAGCTGCCTTTAAGCTAGGTATTTTATCACACATGCTCTGTTCTGATCTTGGGAAACCCTGAGTGTCTTCTCATAAAGTATGTGCCCAGTAGCAGAAATGGAAGTACCTATGAGATTTTATCAGCAAACATTTAGGGCCCTAAAAGTTTTTGGTTCATATGACAGCAAGTGGCTAACAAGCTACAGACTATGAATATCACTCATGCCAAAATGTTAGCTGTAGGTACTTTACAATAAGCACTTGGGCCTGTTGCTCCTATTTGTGAATAAACATGTATTGTTGATGACTTATTAGAAAGTGAATAATTTAAACATTAACTTTGAATAAGAGCAGACCAAGGCAAAACTCACCTTCATGTGGTGATTTTATGTGAAAATAGGGAAAATTCAATAGGATTAACATTCTGAGTTATAACTTTAAATCACTGTATTTACTGTACAGTATCAGTAATAGATTATGCTGTGAGTTTTGTTTATTAATTACTAAATTTGGATAGACAATGAAAACTGTTAAGATGTTCATAGTAAAACCTAGATTTTGCTACATGACTTGCCCAGGAATGGCTGGTTTCTATGCAGTCTGCTATTTCTCTATGCTAGGTTTAGATTTTTTTTATATTTTTATTTCTCTATGTCAGGTTTAGATTCCCCAACCAGCTCTAGAACTTCCTGAAAAATCCTTGCAGCTATCATGACCATGGTGTGTTTGGAATGACTGGGGAGAAGTACCAAGATAACTTGGGTCTTAAAGTATCTCTTCCTCTTTGTCCCATCAGGATGCCTAATGAAGTGTACAGACTGGCTTCGTGGGGGCCTCAAGCAGCACTCTAACTAAACAGCCTGATACAGTGGTTAATCATTTATCAGGATTTGTGCCTTGGCAGAGGTTTCTCAATGCCTTTAATTTTCTTCTGAGATACTTGTAATTATCTGAAACTAACAGTTACCTCGTGGGGATATGTTGGATCATGATACAAATATAAACAACATGCAGGATAAGTGTTAAAATTGCCTTAAAAGAGAAAATGCTGAGAGAGCACATAAGATAGCTGTTGTGCCTGAAGGCATCCTATGTGTCCCTCCACAAAGCGACCCTAAGATTTGGCTTTCCAGTGTGCTGCCTTTAATGGAATGAACCTCTACAGCAGACCGGATAGGATCCTGGGTAAACAGCATTTGAAAATCAGGTCACTTACTGTCTGCATAATGACAAACATCAGACTCCCCGACTTACACCACCAACAATCAACATGGTAAAGCTTTGTAGCATTGAAATATGAAGTTCACTCATGAACCTCTTGGTTCCACATTAGAAACAAAGTAACTGCTTTTCTTTTTAGAGGTTTACATGAAGATTCAATGTATTTCATGGGTATCTTGAGTTTATGTATTGAACTTAAATTAATAAATATTAAAATATATTGCTATCTGAGACATTAAGATGGCACTTACCCACTATTGATTTGTAGACACTACCATATCCTGAGCTGCACTTCCAGATCTTGACAAGGATGATGAAACTTCAAAGCTGGAAAGAGATAAGAATAATGTAAAGAGCTGTATGATTAGACAGTGATGGCAATATGGCTTATGCCAGATCAGTAGTTCAGAATAATGAATCAATTTGTCAGAAGCAATACTGCATTGGAATGACATTATATTAAAAAAAAAAATATGTATACAAGAAAAAACTTTTCTTTGCATTGTAGTGGCAGTCAGGAAATACAGATATGTAGGAGCTTTGGTAAAAGTTCTAAATGGATCTTAAGTATGGCTTTAATAAGTAACATAAAATTGTTGGCTGACATCTTTATTCAGTATATATCTCTGCAGCACCACTCCAGTAAAATGAATACACACTACCTGATTAATTTGGCTCAGCTGATTTACAAAATATCCCACTACCCAGACAACAATAATTTTCAGGAAAGCCATATTTGGAGGGTGAATATTTTTTTATTTGAGATTGTGAGCCCTTGTTGCCACGTGAAGCTCTAAATCAGCAACCCTTTCTACATGCTGTTCTCAGAGCACGAGTTGAGTACAGGTAACTGCAGTGAAGTGCTGATCTTTGTGAGGTGACTGGAATGGGACTGGTTCTAAGCCTCATCTTCATAACTAATTGTAAAGAATATGCTCTATTTACCCTGAACCCCACAACTTGTGCAAGGAAGAAGGCACGGTGAGAGGAATGTTACTTTTTCCTGTTAAAAACCCTGCTGGTCTCAAGAGGCATATCCTTGCGTCCTGATTTCAGCCAAGACAGAGTTAATTTTGTCACAGTAGGTGTGAGGGGGTGAAGCCATGTGGGCGTGTCTAGGTTGCTATTCTATATCACCCATCTCATCATCAGGGAGTGGAAATAAGGGAGCTGCTGCTGGGAAGGAGGGTGTGGCTTTGGGTAGAACAAAAGCATGGGGGCCATTGTTCATTGTTGCCTGGGGTCTTCGGTGGGCATTTTTGTATGTGAATCACCCTATTTTTGCATATTTCTTTCATTAATATTGTTGCTGTTCTGTTCATTTTCTTATCTCATTGCTGTTTCCATAACTTGTTCTTACCTCAACCCGAGATCCCTGTCTTTTGTGTCTCTCACCAGAGGGAGAGAGTGGGAGTACTTCTTTTTAGTGGGAGTGCTAAACTGGGGAATACAAAACCATGACACCTTGCCTATCATATAACTTAGAGATTCACAACTTCCTATCTCCAAGCCCTGTATGTTAACAAAGTTAGTTACTGCATCTCAAAAGTTAAAAATGTGACAGTAATGCTTGGAAAAAGTGACCGATACCATTCACCTTTGCCAAATAATCTGAAACCCAACATGAAGGAAGAAAAGTGCAGTTCCAGACAGGATTTAATAAAGAGGCTGCCTTATCTTTCAGATGACTTGTATGATAGACAGAATAGCCTCTCTGCATGTCCTGGGCTATTTCATGTTTCCTCCCTTTTCTTTTGTCTACAATGTGTCTTTACCTTTGTATTTTTTTCTCCCTAAGCTCAGACCTCTCTCTCCATAACTCCAAGCTGGACCGACCTTTGGAGCACTTCCTTCCCTGGTTTACCTGACTGAGCCCTCAGCAGTATGGGAGCTTGGACGCTTTCTCTCACTAGTTCTGTTTATTTATATACTTGCTGTATCTCTCAGTTGCACCTTAAGCTCTCAATTTTCAGTCTTAAATGAGCTTTTCCTGTTCCCAGTCTGAGACAAAATAATTTAACTTCAGAAATAATAACACAAAATAAATTCACAAATGGTTTCCTAGACATGTAAGATTTAGACTCCTCCAAACCTATCTGTACTCACAAGTGTGTGTATATATACATATACATACATATATATAAATGTATATCTCTCCCCTTTTAATATTACAGACAGGCTTGGCTTAAGTATATTTTTTTCTAATTATTTCTTCCTTTGTTTTTGACAGTGGAAACACCAACTAGCCTTGCAAAGTAATGTATCTTTACATTACATTGTTGACTGAGCTACAGTTTATAAACCATTTTTACAATCTGCAGAACATAATCTCTTTAGGAAAAAGAAGGAAGTGCAGTAAGTGAAACATTTTATATTACCTTAGAGCTTTCAACATGAAAAAGTGGATCTGTAAATTTTGCAGATATTTAAATATGAACATAGATTCTTTACAGGCCCACATTGTAAATTATTCATTACACAAGAAAATGGAAAAATGTCATTTAAGTGTCAGAAAGATTACACTTTGAGATGCAGTGGGTGGGTCCGTACTGCTGTGCTAAACCACACCAGATAAAAATGAATCAAAAAATTACATAATAACACAAAGGATTAAAACATCCTTCAGAAGTGTCAGTGTGATTGCTTCGCTTTTACATGTCAAGTTAATTAACGAAATGAAACTAAAAACATAGTATTTCTGTGGTTTCAAAAATGGATCACCCAAGAATACACTGCCTGTAAAAAGTACCATCGGTAAAAGTAATAAACAAGCAGGTTTGAAGGCTGCAAAGTAGTTAACACCAGCTTCTGGTGTTAGAGATTATAGGCCTGTTTCTCCAGTGGTACTGATACACTAATAAGGATATGGTTTAATGCAGTGACTTGCTTGCAAGGAGCCCAAAGACTTACGAAATACAATCTTGCATTGCTTATATCACTTTTGTCCTATTTTCAGTTTAAAGTTTGATAATAAAAATGGGTGGTGGCGTGTACGGGTTCATCGGCCAAGAAAGTGCAAGGGTCACTTGCACACTGCTGGGCAGGTTTTTTTAGATATTATCACGCAGATACCTTTACACAAAGCTACTGCCTCATGAACAGAAACAGCAGAGTAACTGAAACATGAGCCAGCCCATGGCTGCCTTTACTGATACATAATGGAAAGTAATCTAAACTAATTATAATCTAACAAAGTCTTTGTGTACTATGCCTTGCCCTAGTATGAATATGGTTACAGAGACTTTTAATGTAAACACACTTTAAATGACCTGCTGTTTAATCATCAAGCTGATCTGAAATTCTGCCAGGAGACTTCTGTGTAAAGCACAAACTCCTCGGAAAATTTAGTCCATTTGATTTTCCAAAAGACTCTCTCAGTTACACTTGTGATCTTTTATTTGAAGAATCAATTAATGATCCTTTTTCTTCGCATCTGCTATGAATCATTTCAAAGCACAGAAGTTCTTTGTGTATGATTCCAAAAGGGGAATGCTTTGTGCATTTTCAGACAGTGCTTCATCCAGCAAATCATGATTTAACTTTACATTTGAAATACAGGGTATTTGCCTTTGAAGTTTATGCACCTTTAGATGAGGATTGCAAATAGAAACTTAAATTAGCTTCCATTAGTGTTCTGTCTGCTGCTTAAGGCAGCTAGCCTATACTCAAGATCCTGCAGACTAAGTCAGGATGAGAAACGGATGATAGAATCAATGTATCTTTGATGCAATCTTGTTTACTTGCAATAAAGACATGCAATGTTTAGTTTCTCTAGGTAAAATAACAGAACAAATAACAGAAACTGATTACCGGTTTCAAAGCAACCATTTCAGAGAGCACTGCTTTTTAGTGTGACCACTGCACTGGTATTATTCTACAGTCAGCTTCTTCTCTGGTACAAAATAAATTATTTCTCCAGTGGAGAAATATGGGCAGAGACTAGAGATTAGCTGACACCACGGCCCTGCCCTTGCATGGGCACATCCCATGCAAGATCCCAGCAGTTTAGGCTTTTTCATCCTGCAAAGGATGAGGCCTCGTGACTTCACACTCCCTTCCAACCCCCTGAATCATATCCTAATACCTACATTCCTGCCCCATCACCTTACAGAAACACATGACCAACAAGCTTTCAAACAGCCACCTCATTTACATGCACCTTTGGTAAGATATGGTACACACCTAAGAACTTCACAGAGATTTAAAACTGCTACTTCCATGCCTTGGACTACGCTGACAGGAATATTCAGCAGCTGCAGTAAGAAAAGACAGCAAATGATGCAGCAAAGGTTGTTTTCATATAAGATGACAAGATGTGCTTATTCAACTTCAAGAAATTGAAAAAAAAAAATGTGAGGGCATGAGGGTGGTATTTAAATATAGTTTCCCAATCTACACTGAGCTACAGAAGATCTTTGGAACTGCTCCACAATTCTCTGGGCTTGGTCCAGCTATCAGTTCTCTGTCTCAGCCTCTTCTGGCACTGAGACAGCCCAAGGACACAGGGGGACCTTGCCTGCAGGCCACCAGCGTCAACCTCTCCCCTGCCCCTGTGGCAGCATGGGCCAGCACGCTGCACAAAGCAGCCAGGGTGATGGGTATTGGCTAGATAAAAATTTCTAAAGTGAGAAAAATTTTTCTTTCCAGTCTTATTCAGAACAAAAGAAAGTGGAAGTCTATAGGACAAAGTACAGTGACTTGTACTGCTTTGTTGGCAAGGCAGCAGCCACAGGTGCTTATTTTGATAAGAATGTATGTTGCCGCCTAGGTTACACCCAGTCACGTCATGCACAGTCACACAGCTGATGGGGTGCTCATTCCTTCCAAGGAATTCCATCTGGCGGTAAGCAGGTAAGTGATGTTCTGCTATCTACACACCGTAAAAATAGTATCATGCTCCTAAAAATGTGCCATGTTCTCCTGTCAAGTCATTCAGGCTACGTCCATGATTATGCCATTTCTTTTGGGTTCACATCCACCAGCAGGTGCTAAGTCACTGCACCCATCACCACTCACCAAGCAGTTCTCTTTGGCTACAATCACTAAAGAAATGATTGCAGCCTATGTATTTACACGACGTTAGAGTCCTTGAAATGTGGGTGTCTCAGTAGGCTGTGTCTAGGGAACCTCCAGTGAACTGGACCTCTCCAAACACTACCAAGAACAAACGTTTCTGCCTCCACACATACCTGTGATGAAGAGAGAATAACTTCTGTTGTTCCATTGCTTCCTCCAGTTTTTAGACCAAGAAGTACTGTGAACAGTTCAAAACGACGGAGCATAATTTTCCTGATGAACATCCTGGCTTAAGCAGTGCTATTTGGCAA